TTCCCTAACCCTTCAGGTGCCTGCTATATGGGGCTAGGGGCTCTAGTACCCTATGTAGTAGGTACCCCGGGGGGGCGTTAGGGCCTTGCAAGGGGCTGTTATTTCTGGGCTCTTGAAAAGCTTGGGCGAGGTTTGGACTGGCGAGGAAAGTGTTTTGGGGCAATTTTTAGACGTCGAGATGATTTCACAGACACTGTTCCTTAGGGTTCAGGGTTTAGGGTTTAGGGTTTCGGGCGGTTCTTGCTGTAATTTATGTCATATGTACACCGGAAGCCAATTCCATGGCAATTGACTAAGGCCACCAATCCTAAACCATAACAGTGTGTGGGACAGCTGGCGGTTCCTACTATAATTTATGTACACCCAAAGCCAGTGCCATGCTAATTGATTAAGGCCCCTAATCCTAACCCCTAACCGGGTGTGACGCAGCTGGCAGGTGGCACGGTGTCGAAGGCTATCTCAAGGCCACGTGATGCCGGAGGGAGCCCTAAACCCGGTTTAGGGTTTCAGGGTTTAGAGTTTTAGCGTTTTAGGGTTTAGGGTTTGGGGCTTCAGGGTTTGAGGGTTTAGGATTTAAACCGGATAGCTCCGAATTACAGCCAATGACCCGGAGACCACACTCCAAATGACTTAGCCGTTTGAGGACTTGTACAAGGAAATCATACTGAGGAACCCTAAACCCTAAACCCTAAACCCTAAACCCTAAACCCTAAACCGTCTTAGGGTCCAGGTAGAGCCTGAAAGCAAATGCGAAAGCATGAACACTTCGTAGGCGCAGCGCCCGTCATGCCAATATTCTGGAGACTTTGCGTGGAGGTTGGGACGCTGATAATCCAGACCCCCGCGAGGATCCAAAAAGTCGATCCCCTAATTTGGGACCCTGGTTTAGGGTTTAGGGTTTAGGGTTTAGGGTTTAACTGCTAAAGGCTACTTTATAATAGGAACTCCCTCAAGGGATCTACTTTTTGGATCTCCCAGGGGTCCTCCCAGAGTCTGGGAAGTGGGCCTTACCGAGTAGACTAGGGTTTGGGGCACATAGCATCCCAGCTCTGTGTGTGGGACCACTTGTCCATTTTCCTACACCCCCCCCCCATAAACCCTCATAAAGACCTTATCCATAGGCTCCATAATAGTTCCTTCTTGGGATTACCTTGTAAGATCCTAAATATGAACCACAAAAAGGAACTACAATGGAGCCTAATGGTGCAGCACCAACAAATTAACAGCTATAGCGGGATACCTCCAAGCTTTAGATCGACTGATTCAACTCACAGGCTCCTTTCTCGTGGAGCTTTTCTTGGAGAATGAGACGGAGGCTCCAACCACATAAACCTCCTGCCAAGTTTAAGGTTTATTCGTTGTTTAGGGGCTTATATAACACCACCATCAGCAACAAACCCTAAGCCCTAAATCCTATACCTTATGCACGAAACCCTAAACCCTTAGACTTAGAGCCTAAACCCTATACTCTAAACCAGAAACCCCTAAACCCCAAACCCCTAAACCCCTAAACCCTATACTCTCGTAAGGTTAGAAGCATGGGCCCCTAATATGGACCCTTAGGCCTTTCTAGGGACCCGTAAGGGGTACATATAGGGTATATAGTCGGTGTATAAGGATCCCAGGGTTAAGGGCGCATACTTGGGGCCCATTCTTTCAACCTTACTCAGAGCTCTAAACCTTTGCAAGACCTTCAATCCGTCGAATCATCGCAGGGCCACGCCTGGAACCAAAGCCCTCCACCCCAGAGAAAAAGAAGTCAGGCGTAATATAGGGGCCTTAATAATTAGCATAGGGTTCTAGGGCCCTTTATGGTATATTTATACCAAGGAACCCCCGAACTAATATGGGGAATTATTTACGCCCCTACATTACATTTTAGGGTCTATCTCTGTAACATGTAAAAGTTTACGCGATGACTGACCGGTTATGAACATGCTGCATTGTTTCGGCCGTCTTCTCGAGTTTGTGTTCGAGGGCTTGGCAAGTCGGGTTCCCAAGTTGTTGCGAAGTTAATATAGGGGCCTCAATAATTACCTACATTATTTTGGGGTTCCTCATTATCAATTTACTATAAAGGACCCCAAAACGCTAGTCTAATTTTTAGCGAATTATTAACGCCCCTACATTATTCCGTGAGTTTCTTGATAAGCCCATGACATGGAAATTAACCACCCAGACCGGTTCCATTTCGCACCCCACCACGCCCCAGCCGCCGCAAGCGTCACACAGCCGTCGAAGCATGGACAGTGCCTTCACATACCTTTCCTTAGGCGGCCAGCCCCCTACACCCCACTACAGGATCGAAGGACTTGGTTGCTAAATAGGGTATAAGCACGGCAGCGTACAGGAACCCGTACCGCGTGCCCTGAACCTCCAACCGCAGCCTTGACAGCGCCGGGCCGATAGTTCGACCCACTGGCTTCCGGACAAAAGTGAGCCTTGGGGCCTCCTCCGCACTGAAAATATACACTGAAAACGGCGAGTAATTGCTCCGCTAGCCAACGAAGGGAATTCTGACTTTGAAGCACTCCGCTACTCCGCAAGACTCTGCTGCATGGGCTGGATAATATTGCCCTCTAGCTCAAAACCATCGGCCCTCCCACACCTATACAGACCCATATCCTAAACCATCAACACCCATATTCCCGTATACACGCCCGCACCCCCAACTCCTAAACCCTGAGCCCTAAACCCTAAAATCCGAATCTCCATACCGCTAGTTCTTTGAATTAGGGTCCCCTTTTAGATCCCCAAAATAGCACGGCACCCTTATACAAAGGACCCGTAGAAGAGACCCTAATTTACAGAACTACCCATCGACACCCTTTTTAATGCACTCCCCGGAGGTTGCGCTGCATCGATTCACTGGGGCCTTCCCGTCCTGCACTGCGCGAGCCGGCCTCAGGAAAAGCGACCGTGGCGATTCGGTCTTACCTAAACCAAAGAGGCACACACTGCGCCAAGACCTCTAAAAGGTTTTCTATTCTACACAGTTTGGGGGTTCACCAGGTGGGGTTGAGGGGTTTTGGATAGTATGGGGCTGAAGGGTCAAGTTTAGGATTTAGAGGTGCTTAGAACCCCCAACTACTCTCTTTTCCCCCTCCACACACGCATTATAAGACAGACCAGAATGGCCTTGTTGAAGGCGACTTGGGGCGGTCCTGGTTGTTAGAGAACGCTAAACCCTAAACCCTAATTAAATCCTAAACCCTAAACCCCTAAACCCTAAACCCCTAAACCCTAAACCCCGACACCCTAAACCCTAGACCCCTAAACCCTAAACCCCTAAACCCTAAACCCTAAATCCCTAAACCTGCTGTTAGAGAAAAGCAAGCTCGGCCGGAGGCTTCGCCGAGAGGAGCGACTACCACTCGAAGACGCCATGCACCCGGCGAGAACTTCTGCTTAGGGCTCAGGGTTTAGTTTTAGAGCTTAGCGTTTATGGCTTATGGTTCAGGGTTTTGGGCTGGTTTAGGGTTTAGGGTAGCCTTTGACCGTTTGGGGTTCATGAAACCCTGCTGCAATTGAAAGGTTAACCGCTTTTGGGCTGGGGTACTCGGCCCCTAAGGCGTTGATCTGGAAAGTAGTGGCCATGGCATTCTTACAGGGCGTCTGTGCGTGTGTGTGTGTGTTGAAGGGCTTAAAGGGCGTCATAGGGTTTTAAGATTTAGACGTAAATACCGAGAATCGGGCTTTATTTTGTGGTATAGTGGAGATACCAACATTATTCCTTGTAAGGGCTCCTCAGTTTGGCACTATACAAAACTATGCACCCCGAAGCCGATTCTGCTTACTAAAGCCGCGAATACAGGGGCCTGAAGAATTCCTATACTATTTGGGGGTTCCTGAGTATAATTGTAGTATAATATACCCCAAAACCTATTCTAGTTATTAAGGCCCCTACATTCTACATTACTGTAAGCTGGGTCTTGGAGCGACCTAGACCCTAAACCGATCATCCGATGCAGTTCGGCTCGTGAGGACCTTGCCGCCGTGAGATTCTTGGCATGCCTCTGGCCGACATGGGTTTAGGGTTTAGGGTTTGAGGTTTAGGGGAATGCGTGTGTCAGTGCTGTCTCAGGTTTGGATTTGGGTGTACCGGAGCCGTAGACACTACACTCAAACACCAACTGACTGGTTGCCCCACCTCGTGAGTCAACAGCCCTACTAGAGTCCTAGAGGCCCTTAACCCCTAAACCCTAAAGCTAAACCCACTAAATTTGTGAACCCTAAACTCCTTCACCCTGAAACTTTGTGGCCACCTAGACCCGAAACGGCGTGTGGGTGGGGTGGGGGGGTGGGGGCCTCGCCCCCTTCCGATGAGCGATGGCGAGGAGGACGAGCATCCCAATGAGCTGGCAACTTGCATCGATGTAAGGCTTGAGTCAAAACGGTTTAGGGGTTCCTGCCACCATGGGTATATGGAAATAGTGTTGGTGCTTTGGGGTCTAAAGTCGTGTTTCGCCCGACGAACCACACCTTTAGACCGTGATGCAGACCCTCGTCGACAACCCGCCCGTAAATTAACTGAGATGAAATCCTGACTGTGATCCTATCTGTATCTGACCTTAACAAGTTGTGTTCATCAGCTGCTGCATTCAACTGGTTTTTGCCATCTAGATTTTGAAGTGTTGCGAGCAGGGCTCGTTCAGGTCGAAGCTGGAGCTCCCTTTCAAGCTGCAGCCTTGTAAGTCTAGTCTGGGAAGAGATACACTTCCACACACTAGTCCCCTAAACCCTAAACCGAATTTTTGGCTCCTTTGGACACATCTGGCTCGGGCTGAGGTTCTGATTTGCGATCCTTCTTTGTAGTGTGAGGGACACTGGTCAAGGACAACCTCCCCGTTGTGAGGAATCGAAGAGATGTGGTAGAGAGGCCTAAATGATTACTGGTGCTATTCTTCTGCAGGCAGTCCTGCTTGATTGAAAGCTGCTAAGCTGGAGCCCAAACCGAGGCCAAGCGTCACATCTTCCGTACCCCAACGAGGGAGCCACCCATGCCGACAGCGGCCCAGCGTGCTGCTATGCGGGCTGGGCCTGCGAGAGATACCGAGTCAGTAGCCTCCTCGCGCAGCCAAGCGGAGGTGGTCGAAATACCGGTCCCAAAGGCGGGTTCGGGGTGTGTCTAATAATGGTAAAGCATGTGCCCTCGTTGTCTTCATTTTAAGTCGGGTTTCTTTTCTGACGATCTTTGGTAGGGATCTTTGCTTTAGCTCCTCCGGCCGAGGTCATTCCGCCCAAGGCGTGGAGCCCGACCCCGGCCTTCAGGCCCCTGTCGCAGTCGCTGCGCCCATGGTCCGGGTCGCTTTACCAGCCCCTCCTGGTCCCAGCTCCCAGCTTCGCACATGGGGTGCCGGTGCCTTTGCCTCTGCAACCCGAGTCTCCGATCTTCAGCTCACACCAGCACCTCGCGTCTCCCCAAGCTCCCAGTCGCTTTCGGAGTTTCAGCCCACCTCCTCTTCCCAAAGCCCGGCAGACCTCACCAGTCGCTGCTCGGTCGATCTGGCCTCGTCCTACAGCTACAGCCCAAGGGCACTGGCAAAGCCCCAGTGTGCCAAGGCCTTCCAGGTCGCTCTCACCGGGGCGGCAGCTTTCGAAGCCCTCTCCCGCTTCTGCACTGGAGCCTCGAACGCGCATTGCGGTGGCCCCTGAGAATTCACCCTGTGTCCCCCACGAGTCCCCACCGCGGAGCGCGGAGTCCCTGCAGAGCCCTCCAAAGAGTGCTGCAGAGGCGCCGCCATTGCCAGTGACAAGGCAGGGAGAGTCAATGGCTTTTAGGCTTTTTCTGGACCCCAAAAGCACGTAGAATATTCGCCCGTTATAGGCAATTGGGCCATGATTTTACTTACTTGGGAAGGTTTAGGTTGGGCCTTAACCTTAGCAGTTTTGCATTCAGGCAGCCTGGATTCTAGGTTCAGGGTCGGAGCGCATCCAACTTACTATAGCAGCTTACATAATTGTCCATATTATTCCTTAGGGTTCCGTATTATAGCTATACCATAAAGGAGCCCAGAACCCTATTCTAGTTATTAAGGCCCCTACATTACTGGAAGCAACACGAAGCCGAAAGCTTAAGCCCTCAACTGATTATTTGAGCCCTCATAAGCCCCAGCTACTAAACTCTAAGTACGAGTCATTACAGTGAAGCAACCAATTTTACAGCAACACGGTCTTGTCTAACGCAGATAGGGGTTTGGGCGATTGCACGATAGACGATAGACGCTTTGCAGCCTTGGGCT